CTTTTCAGTAGTAACAAAACAACAAGTAAAACAAGTACCAAATCATCCCCAGAGATGGTTACTGCAAAGACTTCTCTGCAAATGTTCCTGCCTAGGGAATATTTCAGTGCAACATTTTTAACACTGTTCAAGTAACATACTAAGAGAATAGAGATGGATGTGATGTGGATTTCAGAAAAATGAAATCAACTATAGCAATTCTGTCTTCAGAATGCCAATTTTTAGCTTGATTATGTACTGTGCTTGGACATCTTTTGGAGAAGGGGGATCTCAATGTAAATCCTGATGTCTTAACTGTTACAAGGTGTAATCATTACTTGATGAAGAACCAAATGAAAGATATGACTACAGAATATTTAAATGCCCAGATTATAGGCTAAAGCAAGCTCTGCAGGGTAAATTTGTCTACTGTTAGCACTTCCTTAATGATCTGAGACCACGCACCCTTTGGAGAAATGAGTTTTTAAAGAGCTTCTACTCCCATAGGTATTTAAGAATATTTCATCACTTGTTTATCTCAGTAGAGCTCTTTGGTGACAAAGAATGGGAAATGAAGGCTGAAAGGTACAATGCAAAACATACAGCACTGTGGTGTTGAGCAAATCCCAATAGAAAAAGGATGGAAGCAGAAGTAGAGAAACACTTGATCCCTGCAAGCATCTAAGTGCAGGGGAATCCTGCTTTCTCTGAGAAGAGGCAATGCAATTCCCTGAGTAGACATTCACAGACAAGTCCAGCAACTTCGATACAATAAAGTATTCCAATTTCATTAGTGGTTTTGGCAAAGGGTGAATGATACGGTGCTAAATGCTCACTAAATGAATACGAAGAAGCAGCCTGCCATCTTGGGTTTCCTACATTTGGTATCTCATCTTTCACACTGTGTGCAGTTTTGGACTCCTGAGTGAACGCTGAAAATGCTTCCAAAGAAAGCCTTCAAATATACACTTTTCTGCAAGCCAGTCAGAGTTGGGGGAACACAGATGAGAGTCCAGAAAGATTCTTATTTCTGTTTTCGGTGTGCCTTGTAAGAGGTCTTACTACTACTGCGTGGATGGTACACATACACACTCTCTTTACGGAGGCTCATACTTAATTCTGGAGGTATATGGGACTCGGCCAGCTTTTCTTCTGCTGCTTGCCAGGAGACAGGTGGAAATGCAGAGGAGAAGGTGCCCTGTGCCTCCCTTGAACAGAGAGCAAGCAGCATGGCTAAGTCCCTTCCACGGAACATGGCTCTGGCAGCGAATCGCGGATGCTGCTACGTTTTCCCCCGCCAGCGACAAGAGGAGCTCTCCAGTCCCGGCCAGGGTCGGAGAGGGGCGCGCATAGCATCAGCTCTGGAGATGAGACCACCGCACCGCCTCTCGGCCCCGCAGAAGGTACCCACCGCCCGGACAGCCGGCGGAACGCTGCTTCCCCGGCCCCGCAGCCCGGCTCGCACTGCCATCCAGCCTCGTCGGGCTTCGGGTCCCGCTTATTCCCACGGCGCGGCAGCACGGCCGCCTCCCCGCTCCGAGGGCGCCGCAGCCGGGCCCGCCCGGCCCCGAGGCGGTGCCGCGTGCGCCGCGGGCCGCCGCTTCAGGACCAGGTCTGGACAGCGCCCCGCCGCCCGACCCCGCCTTCCCGCCGCCGCTCACCGCCCATTGGCTGGAGAGCCGCCGCGGAGCCAGGGCTGCCCGCGGTTGGCCCGAGCCGTCCGCCACTCAGCGGGGCAGGGAGGGAGGTGCTGGCGCCCGGCTCGAGGCTGGAGCCTCCGAGAAGCGCTCGTTTGTTTTGTAACCCGGCGTCTCGCGCTTCCCCTGGCATCGCCTCATTGGAGGTCCGGCCGAAGCGGTCGACTTCTCATTGGAGGGCCGCTGCTGCCACTCACGTGCCCACCTGAGGGGGCGGTCCGCAGGCCGAGGGGCGTGCCGTGCAGGCAGGGGCGCGGCCAAGGCGGTACCGGAGGCGGGTCCGAGACTCAGAGTGGGCCGGGGTGTGGCGCGAGGGGGCGTGGCCTCCAGCCGAAAAGGGGCGGGGCTAGAGGCGGAGGCGGGGTGAGGCCAGGGGAGCCTCGCAAAGCGGAGATTGCCCTTGTGTCTCGAGCCGGGAAGCGGCTGGGAACGGAGCAGCCTCGCCGCAGCACCCGCCAGCAGCGGGACGATACGGGACGGGACAGGCGAGCGGAGCGGAGGGCAGGCGCGGCGCTGAGGGCGAGCGGAGCCACCGGGGGCAGCCGGCACCGCTCCGCGGGGGGAACCTGCTCGGCAGCGGCGGAGAGCGCCGCTCCCCCCCCTCCTCCCTCCCCAATCCACCCCCGCGACCCTGGTCCTCCTCCTCCTCCTCCTCCTCCTCCTCCTCCTCCTCCTCCTCACCCCACTGGATACAGCGAGGGAGACACTGCGGCGGAGGCGGCGGCGGCTCCTGCGGGGGGAAGGAAGCGCCCGGAGAGCGGAGCGGCGGGAGGCTGCGGATCTGCGTGCCTGGCGCCCACCCAGCCCGAGGGGAGCCCCCAGCATGCGGCTGAAGCCCGGCGCGCTCCTGCGCTTCTACAGCCTCTGCGGGATCCTCATACAAGGTACCGTCTCCCCATCCTCCGCGGGAGGGGCCCCGGGCTGGCCGGGGGGGCGGGGGGGGGGGGGGGAAAGCATCGCCGCGGCCCCGCTGCCCACCCGCCCCGCTCCTGACCCCGCTACCCTCGCGTCCCCCCGTCCCGACGCTCGTCCCCTGGCCTCCGCCGCTCTCTCCAGCCCCGCTATTAACCCTTCCCGCCCCGCCGCTTTGGCCCCGCTCCCCGCGTGCCCCTGAAGTGCGAGTGCGGCGGTGGCGGGCGGCATCCCGGGAAGGTGCGGGCCGCGGGCACTGCTGGCGCGGGGGAAGGGGCGCCGCGCCGCGCATCGAGATGGACGTATAGAGCCCATACGTGAGGCGATGCCGAAGTGAGGCAGCATCTCCCCGACGCCAACGGCGAGTTCCCCGACTCGGTATATTCCGCGTCCCTCCTCTTCCCCCACCGCTCTCGCGCCGCTCCTCTTAGTGAATACCCTCCTTCTAATTGACACGAAACAGCCGCGGCGGAGGGGGAACCCGCCGAGTACCGCCGCTTCCCGGCTGCGAAGGAAGGCGGGCAGCTCTCTCTCCCCCCACCCCGCGGGGCGGGGAGGCGCGCGGGCGGGGGGCGGTAGCGGTCGGGAGCGCGGGGGTCGGGGGAGGTGGCAGCGGCCGCGGCGCCGCAGCCCGGCGGCCTCTGGCGGGTGTGCGCGGGGTCAGCGAGCCGCCGCGCGGAGACCGGCGGGCGGGTGGGGGACAGGGGCGACCTGCCTCCCCGCGGGGGGCTCCGGGGGGGGAAGCGGGGGAGCGAAGTGACCTTGCGGGGATTTTCTCTCCCCTCGTCTCCGTCACGCCGCGCCGTGTCAAGTTCAATAAATTTTACGTTTCCCTCGGCTGCGTCATGTGTCGGGCGGGCTCCAGAGGGTTGAGGAGCGCGGCGCCCGCAGCGGACCGGGAGGCAGCGTCGCCTCACGGGGAAGTTGGCAGTGCGGGTGCTAGAAGGGGACGGGGCAGCGCGCCGGGCGGCTGTCAGCGCGGCTTCACGGGGCAGGGCTTCGGTGCGCCTCGGCGGCGTGCGTCACCGCACAAGGAGCCGCTGTGCCGGCGCTGTACCGGGTGATTTATTGGGGCATGTGCCGGGACTGCACCTGGACTCTGCTCTCTGTCTCTTGCATCTCCCCGTGAATTGTCGATTCATGGCCCCGCCGGGGAGGGGTGCTTCGTGTCACCAATAGAACCGGGGCTGCCGCTGAAGGAGGAGGGTTTGATCTCTGTGAAGATGCAGTCAGCCGCCTTCGGCGCATCGCATTCTTAAGAGTGAACCAGTGATTAAAACAGTGCCGCCTTTGACGGCGGGTTAGGGCGCGTGCCAGGCGGAATGCTACTCTGTGAACCGCATCAGGTAATAAAACATTGCAAGAAAAAGGATACAATGCAGATCTGTGGAAATCATCAGGCTGGGCCCGTCCTTACAGACGGGCAGGCCGTGCCTCACGTGCTGCTTGGCTTGCTCTCTGCCTGGTACGAAATGCCTGCTCCTTCTCAGTTTGTCGCACAAGTATTTTTTCAGCTCCTGGTTAAAACTGCCCTCAGGAGTACTGGAGCAATCCCTATACCACATTTGAGCAGAGCACTTTTTGGGTGCCATTCTACTGGGCACTGATTAGAACGGGAATTAAAGAAACCTGTCACCCTCAGAGTGGAGTGAGAGGAGATAATTTCTGCTATGCTTTCCTCCATCCTCCTTTGAAGGAGAAGAAAACACACAAATATTTTCTAAGGGAAATCTGCCCTGAATAGTTGCTGTGTCTCACCAAATATCGAATTCCTTTGGTTCACTTTGTAGTGCTACTTCATAAACAGTGCCATTTGTTTTGGCACAGCCAGCCATGGTTTCTGTACTGGACACATTTCTTGCTGGCATTTTTATACCTGCATTTAAAAGTAATTTTTCCTGCTGGCTTGCTGCGCTTCCCCAGACTGCCTTGTGAAGTGGCTCAGCGGATTTGTTAGATTCCTCAGTTTCTGTCTGTGGGATACACAGGTTTCCTGTCATCTCTGTACATGAATGAGATTGTTGTTCTGAGGATTCGGAACGCTTTGGGACTGTGACTGAGGATGGTTCCTGTTAGCTTCAGTTCACTAATTTAGTTTAAAAATAAGACGGAGTTGAGCTAACATGTCATGCATGGAAGTGTGCCTTTTTTTGTCTCTGTCTATTAAGAGCCTGGCTTAAGCAATATGCCCCGAGTGTTGATGAAGCATCAGCTGAGGGAAGAGGACATAGAATAATGCCTCTCAGCTTGTGCATGGAATAGCATTAGCAGCAAGCAGTCCCTTCAGAACGGAGGCAAACAAGAAGTAAAAGAGTCCAGTGTCAACTGCTTGCTGTGAGAGGGGAATAGTGAGGTGGAAGGGGGAGTAATAACATGTTGAGCTGAGAAGTGGCTTGTCAGCTGAGTTCGGGTATGATATTAGTCTGCTTTGCCCTATCCAGTATTTACTGTGAAAATAGTAGGATCTCTGGCTGCTGTTGTTCTTACCTCTTGTGCTGTTAATGATTCCAAAGTATCTAAACTGTGTCCTAAGAGGTTTAACTGTTATGTATGTTAGCAGCTTGTACTTGCATTTTTTGTTTCGCTTTTTTTTCCTCCCATTTCATGAATTTAGCCTGCTATATACAAAATTTAACAGTAGAAGGATGACATGTATTTTGAATAACTTTCGTACAGTATCTTAAACAATTTATGCAACCTGGAATCTAAGCTATTTATTTTAAAGAGTTACCGTATGATCAACTGTAATATTAAAGATAGTTTTGTAGAATTCCTGGTGTACAGATATGGGTTAAAATTATCCTGGAATTGTAGCTGCTGTAGCCCCCTGCTGTGGGATAATGCAAATGGCATCTAATGCCTTCATGTGTTCTGCTTCTCGAAGAATGCTGGATAGTGTCATATGTGGTAACAAATAATATACTTCCAGTTCTCAACCATCACCAGACAAGTCTTTCCAATACAGTTTCTTCAGGCACTTTAAATACTTGCAACTTGTTTACTAATGAAAATAATGTAGGGACACTTTAATTTGTCTGAAACTGTGATCACTGATGCGAGAAATCGGTAAGGACATAATTGCTCATGGATGAGACTTTGCTCATAAGCCTAGATCCATTACAAGTAGGAAAAAAAAGTGAATATGCAAATGTCTGCTTCTCTGATCATATGAGCTGATTGAAGGCTGTGATACATCACTCCATAGCTTGCTTAGTTATTATATGTTTTGATTTTTAACTAGGATTTCTGTTAGCAAAATCTTGGCAGTAATGCCTTATCTTGTAAGCAAAGGTGTTGTGTTGACAAATTAATGTTATAATGCTAATATGGTAATAGCAAGTGAAAAGTGTGCTGTAGTTAGTAAATTCGGTGAAGAAGAAGACAGTTGGAGAATAGAAGACAGTGACTTTGGTGGAGGTTGATGCAATCTGTGGTTGGAATCACAGAATCACAGAATCAAACTCACAAGCTGAAGAGTAAAATATAAGTCTTGACTTGATTGTGGCCATCTTTATATGACTTGGGTCAGTCTAAACAAAGCTTGGCAGGCTTTTTAGTTGTCTAGTTCCCGATTAATTCATTTTATTAATTATTTCTCCTTCTTCATGTGTTTTATTACTAGTCATCATACAGCCTTGCTGAACAGTTTTAGAACATCAAGTAACTAATCACTCAAAACTCCCACTGGTGACCTCCTGAAACTTCCCCGATGAACACATGAATAGAGATTCTTCATAGTTACAGTATTTATCAAGTTTCTATTCAGCAGTAAGGAGTAGTTCCACAAAAATGCTGATAAGGAGAAACACTTCTTTGTAACAAATAGTTTTTTCATGTCAATTTTATTGTTAGTTCTTTTTTTTTATTAGAAAAAAATGTAAGACATTAATGTCCTCTGCTTTTAAATTTACTTGTCAGTTTTAATTCCATGACTATGTACTGTAAATGTTTTTAAGCCACAGTTTATAGAAGCCTTAGTTCTTATATTTCAGCTTTATGTTGCAAAACAAGTCTTGAATGTGGTTGCATTTAATCTTTCCACTAAATGATTAGTCTTCCAATATTGCTGTGGAAAGTCAAAGTTGGATTTTGAGTTTTTTTCCACTTATGCATCACGAATATTGGTGAAGAAAATATAACCACTGTCTATGTGGTAAACACTGATGGACATCAGTTGCCTAGAGAATATAAGTGTAACCAGAATGCAGTTGACTACTAGAAGAATGATTCCCTCTCAAACTAACATTTATGAAGTAGAAAGAGAAGGTGCTCTGATGGTCCTCCTAATTCCTTCTCAAAGAGATAGAAGAAATGCTTCCATTTTGTTTTAAAAGAGAAACCTGACAACAGGCTAATTCCGTTAGAGACTTTCAAAAGAATGGAGAGTCCTCTCCAGAGAGGATGCTGCTGACATGCTTTATAAAATACGTGTTCCAAAACAAATGTGGAACAGTAAAACTATTAGGCATAGTTTAGTAGTTTAGTATGTGTCTCCTCTGGGATTGTGTCAATATTAAGTATGAGCTTAATGAGCATATCCCTTCTTTCTAAGGAATTCTTGAGGTATGTTTGAAAGGAAGAAAGAAAAAGTGGCAAGGAATAGCTTGTAAAAATGATGGTTTTTTTCTCAGCAATCTGCCTTTGAACAACTTATCTTTTTACATAATGAAAACATTGAAAATATTTTGAAAATACTTTTTTGAAAAATGTATGTGGGTGTCTTTGTGAGAGTTCTTAAAGCTTTTTTTTTTTTTTTCTTCTCTGAAACTGTTTCAAGGTTTTTCCCTTTCATTTTTATAAATCAAAATAAAAAGGTCCAAATGCATACAATTTCTCCTATTTTAATGCACAGTAAGTTCAGAATGGATGGTTTATACAGCTGTACTGAGCAGACTGTCCTCACAGCATTCTAAGGTGGTAGAGAAAGAGGCAGAAAGCATTTATTTTAATAAAATAAATTTAATTTAATAAA